CTTGCTTCATGGTTCTATCTTCTTACTCTTGGCTAAAGCGTAGATCAACACAACTCCTATGAAAGATACAGTATGTTTTATGAAGTAGAGGAGGAGGCAAAAAAATATCCTACCCAATGCTTTATAAATCTTTGTATCTTTGTATCTTTATCCAGATTCACATACAGTAGTTACTTCATAATCTGCTTCAAGCTGGCATCACATCTTTGTACCAGTGGTGGGTTCTGGATCCCGTTCCAACTGGTATGGTTGGAATGGGCCCGGCATAGCCCACATGGATGGCATGTGCATGAGTTGTATCTGCCAGCGATGCTTCCACAAGCCTCTGCAACGCTCCAGCTGCTCAGTGGAGCGTCACAGAGGTTTCCATCTGCCAGCCAATGTTGGCTGGCGACTCCCCGGGGGAGAGCCTTCTCTGTTGCAGCGCCAGCCCTCTGGAATGATCTCCCCGTGGAGATCCGGACCCTTATTACCCTCCCGGGCTTCCGCAAAGCTGTTAAGTCCTGGTTGCTCCAGCAGGCCGGGGGGCTCTCGTAATATTCAGCCCCCCGGAGATTGTGACTGTTGTATATTTTAATGTTGTTGTGTATTATTCCCCTCCCTTGTGTTATTGTAAGTCGCCTGGAGTCCTTCAGGAGTGGGCGGCATACAAATCAATAAAACTATAACTATAACTATGAGGACTTGGTCATAGTAAGCATTTGAGTAATCTGATGGGCTGTGTTAAGAGTACAAAAAATCAGAAAGAAGGCAGGACCACAATTAAGCCTGATTTAATTGAAAATGAAATAAATGAGCTCAACATGATTGGTCCCCCCCCCCGATTTTAATCTTTTCCATTACTTTGGGAATGGCTTTGAAAGGCTGCATTCAAGATTTTGAGGAAGACACATCTTTGTGGGTCTCCCTATTCAGCAGTTCTTTAGCTACAGTATTTCTCAACCTTGACAACTTTTAAGATGTGCGAAATCTTACAGATGTGTGAAAGAGAATAGAAACTTAAGAATTTTTAAGAATTTAAGACTAGAATTTAAGAATTCCCATTCTCAGCCAACTGGAGAATTTTGGAAGCTGAAGTCCAGACCTGTTAAAATGGTCAAGATTGAAAAACACTCAGCACTAAAACCATCCCTGCCTGGGAAAAACAACTTTGCCCCAATTTTGTAGCTACTATACTGCCAGTGAAAAGCAGGTTCCCTCCCCATGTTTAAATAATAGATTAAAAATGACTGGTTTATTATGTGGTGCTGGAATGAACAACTCAAGAAGTCAAATCACCTTCTCACAAAAGGAGGTATTCACACAGGTGCCTTGCTGCCAAGAATTAACCTTTTCTGTTAGCATGTAACCCAATTTATAAACTGGAGTCAAGGTGCTAGTCCTCAGCATAAAATCCTGAGTCTCTGCTAATGGAAGTTTCATCTGGAATAAGTAATTTCCCCTTCCATTTAAAAATGAAACAATTCCAAATGTTTACTGTTCTTCTGGTCTGCTGAGGTGGATTGGGGTAGCTTCCAGATAACCCATTTCCTTATTGCTGACAAGCATAAAAAATAGGGTGCAGGCTGAAAAGAAGGATTTTTTTCTTAAGCTGTTTGTTATGCCTGTATATACCCGTAATTTGATTGTTCAACCTTGTATGTAGAAATTTAACTTAACTCTCTCTCTGTGTGCACACACAGTTGTATGCCTGTATGTGGGAATGTCTTTATTGTTATTGTTGTTGTTAGTTGCAAAGTCTTTCCTACCCATCGCGACCCCATGGACAATATTCCTCCAGGCCAGGGATCAGCAACGGTTCTGGAACCACATGTAGCTTTTTCATCCCTCTGTTGTGGCTCCCTGTCGCTGGTCAGTGCTACAATTTTGAGAGGAGCTTCCAGTTGGGAGGGGAGGAAAGCACAGCACGCCAGGAGGAGACTCATGGAAAGGGCGGGTTTTCTGGTCAGCTCCATAATTGATAGGGCTTTTGGTTAGGACAGGTAGATGAAAAAGGATGCCACACTAGGAGGAGACTCTATGGTGGGGGAACAGGAATTCCGGTTGGCTTCAGAATTGAATTGGGGGGGGGGGGCTTCCGGTTAGGATCTTTGTGGCTCTTTGAGTGTTTAAGGTCAACCTCTGCTCCAGGCTTTCCTGTCCTCTACCATCCTCTGGAGTCCATTTAAGCTCACACCTACTGCTTCAGTGACTCCATCCAGCCACCTCATTCTCTGTCATCCCATTCTTCTTTTGCCCTCAATCGTTCCCAGCATTAGGCTCTTCTCCAGTGAGTCTTTCCTTCTCATTAGGTGGCCAAAGTACTTGAGTTTCATCTTCAAGATCTGGCCTTCTAAAGACCAGTCAGGGTTGATCTCTTCTAGGACTGACCGATTTGATCGCCTTGCAGTCCAAAGGACTCGCGGGAATCTTCTCTAGCACCATAGTTCAAAGAATGTCTTTATATAGCCACACAAACACATATACACCTACACACAAATTGGAGATATTTAGAAGATGTTCCTACAAAAAGAAAAGCAATTTGCTACTATTTTCCTGGAACAGTAAGAAATTAGTGGCATTCCGGTAATGTTTAAAAGTAAATGGGAATTTGTGTAAGTTTGATCTCAGATCACAGTGAACTATTTGTTTCTCTAATGGAATATGATAATGACCTTGGAAGATGGGGTGGTGAAGAGAGATGCTGCCTAGGGAACGATCAGATAAAAGGAAAAGGATCCATCTTAACTAAGGCCATAAAAAAAGTTGGTGGAGATTTATACTGTTAGACTTACAAGATTATTACATAAATATAGCCTTATATCAGGGGTGGGTTTCTCGCCCTGTTCCAACCGGTTCGGTTCGGTTGGAACGGGGCCAGCGGCGTCCTCGTGCACGTGCGCGGTGCATGCATGTGTACTAGCGTCTGTGCGATGCTTCAGCTNTGGCGACTCCCCCGGGGGGAGCCTTCTCTTTTGCAGCGCCACCCCTCTGGAACAATCTCCCTGTGGAGATCCGGACCCTTACTACCCTCCCGGCCTTCCGCAAAGCTGTTAAGTCCTGGCTGCTCCAGCAGGCCAGGGGGCTCTCGAAATATCCAGCCCCCCCCCCCCCCGGAGATTGTGATTGTTGTATATTTTAATGTTGTTTGTGTATTATTCCCCCTTCCTTGTTTTATTGTAAGCCTCCCGGAGTCCTTCGGGAGTGGGCGGCATACAAATCAATAAAACTATAAACTAAACTATAAACTATAAACTTAGAAAGAAAGGGGCTTTTTTTCTGTTTTCCTATGACCTCTATTTCTGCCTGTTTTCTTAACTGGGCAGCCTGTGGGCATCAAATGTCACAAATCATCTTGGAAAGTATTTTGAGTTCCTTTACTTGAAAAATTTACAGTGTTAAAAACAGTCAAAATGATAAATTGTATCTCAAGGAACGAGATAGTTTCCCCAGTGGGTACTTTAAATGAAAATGTTGAACTCTACTTAAGCATTATGCAGATACTTTTCCAGTATGTTTTCTTAATAGGCCGCTTTGTAATATCTAGAATTAGTAATGTAATATTTCTCTTAGTACTTGTAAAAACATTACTATCTAAATAATATAACTATTAAAAGAATCATTATCTAAACAGTTAAATTCTATAAATTTTTAATACAATTGCAAACAAATTTTATTATTTATGTTATTTGGAAAGTAATGGGCTAAGGCGTCTTCCTATTTTTTTCCCTTCAAAAATTTTGTCACTTGTCTCTAGATCTTGATTCCTCTTTCACAACTTTTTCGTAACCTGGAGGATTGAATACCAAAGTGAAAATCCATTTATACCTGCTGCCTTCCAGATGTTTGGGTTCACAACTTTTGGAAATCCTTATCATTGGCCTTACTGGCTGGGGCTGCTGGGATCTTATCTTCATTAGACATGTGGATTTTTGTAGAAGGTATGTTTATAGTGTTCAAAAGAAGAAGGAAAAACAAGGCCATAATGTCAATATTTATATCTATAAAAGACTCTTCCTATTCCACTGTTGAATATCACTGGGATCTTCCCTGTGTTATTCAGATGTAGAAATTTGGAGAAAAATAATGTAAAAATAAATTTGGAAAGCCAAGAGGAGGTTATTCATGTTTGGTATTTACCTGAAAGGAAGATGACTCTGAATGTAAGATTGTAGGGAAATAATTTTTTCAGTCTCCATTGTCATAGTTTTTAGAAATCTAAAATGAACCTATCCCCCCTTTCTCAAAATTAGATTTCTCCCAATTGATCTGATTTAGCAAAGGAATCTTAAGAAAAGAAGCAGGAAACCAGATTGTATAGCAAATATGGGTCCCCTGAATGTGAGTTGACTTTGGGTTGACTGCTCACCACTGGAGATGCATTTGTTCCCAAAGTATTGTGCATGATCTTGATGTCAATCTTATCTCCTCTCTTCTAAATTTCAGTTCATTGCTATGGACAGTGCTATCACCTTGTGGCAGTTCCTTTTGCAACTTCTTCAGGAATCTCGAAATAAAGACATTATTTGCTGGACCTCAAATGATGGAGAATTCAAACTTTTGCAAGCAGAAGAGGTTGCCCGCCTTTGGGGAATCCGTAAAAACAAGCCCAGCATGAACTATGACAAACTCAGTCGTGCACTCAGATATTATTATGTAAAGGTAACTTGGCCTTTTGTTTGCCTCAAATGTTTAACTTACATTGTATTCCAGTGGCTCTAGAATTAGTGGTATTTCCCTCTCTGATTTCAAAGGCAGGAATGTTGGTAATGTCATAAGAGTTTATTGAACTAAACTGGAAACAGATAAAGTTGCTTGCCTGTCTGAGTAAATGTACTTGTTTCATGATTTAGCAACAATAATCTCTACTGTTCTACCCAATCACTTGTTCTTGTTTTGAAATAGGTTTGTGTAACCCAGAGTTCTATTATTTGACATTTTGATTTATTCATTTGCATTCTCAGATTTTTAAAATATGTTAAATGCTATTATATTAATAAATAAAAGTAAGTAATATTTTATGCAGAATTTCCATGGAATATGTGAATGCATACAGTATGATTTCCTCCCCTAATGTTTTCTGGAAAATTCTCATTATGTTCTGAAAAGCTTCAGCTGATATGCTTATTAGAATTTAATTTGGAATAACGTTGACTTGACTATTAAATGCTGCTTGTAATTTTATGATACATGAATTGTAGCACTCAGCACATTGCTATAGAACAGTGGTTCCCAAACTTGGCAACTTTAAGACTTGTGGACTTCAACTCCCAGAATTCTCCAGCCAGCAGAGCCAAGTTTAAAGTTGCCAAGTTTGGGAACCACTGCTATAGAACAACGTGGAAGCCATTGAATACTGTCTGGAGACTTTGAAATGGCTGTAGTTCAAACCATTCTGCTGAATATTTCAGATATTCATTTCCCTTCAGCTACATTAAAATTTATGTACAGTCAGCTTTTAATACTTAATCTTGATGTTAAAATGCACCATTGATATTGATACAAGTATTATGCCTGAGATACAGTGGGACCTCGGGTCACGACCACAATTCATTCCACAGTCTTGGTTGCAATCTGATTTGGTTGTGACCCGAATCTAATTTTCCCATTGGATTGTATGTAAATACGATCAATCTGTTCCAGACCCCTACGAACTATATATAAATTTAAAAAAAAAGATTTTTAAGCACAAACATAGTTAATTATGCCATAGAATTCACAGTGTAATAATAAAATGTAAAATCCTTTAATAACACTGATAGCTCCTCCTGCCTTCATCTCAGCCGTCTTAGGCGCCTGGTTTTCTCACAATCTAGGCGGGAGGGCTTGGACTGGCCTGGCTGGCTTCTGCAGTGCTCCTCCTGCCTTCTTCTCTGCAAGGAAGCTCCGGCGAGAAGAAGCAGACCAACACACACCCTCCTTCCATGCTCCAAAGCAGAACACCAGGGCCTTTCGGTCACTGGCCTGCTGAGGCAGAGAGCTGCCACTCTGCAGCTCCTGGAGGACTGAGAGGAGGGGAGATGGGGGAGGGGGAGATACTGGCTTCCAAGCTGCCGGAATTCCCAACTGCAGAGCTTGCTTGGCTCTGTTCCCAACCCTTGCCATGCTTCTGCGGTGTCATGTGGACTTCCGGGGGAGGTTGGAGAGGGAGAGAGTCTGCCTGTCTGGGGAGAAAGTTACAAAGCAAGCTAGAAACCAGTGAGAACAAAATTAAAGGGTAACTTTAACATGTGGAATGGCAGACAAGTTTGTTCAACAAATCAGGACTTTCTCTATGGCGCGGAAGGGGAAATCAGCTACAACCATGTTTGGTCGCCACCTGAGAATGTGTTCATGACCAGAGTCAAAAAAATTGTGACTTTTTTGGTCGGAACACAATTTGGTTGTGGTCTGAGCAGTTTGTGACCCGAGGTCCCACTGTATTATACTGTCTTTTGAATCAAAGTAATAAAATAGGCAGTTGACTGAAACCATGTTCAATTTGTATGAGCAAACTTTTTTAAAGCTCTACTATGTTTTTAAATTCATTTTTTATTTATTGATAGCTTTGTTGGTATGTGTCTGGCATCACAGTAAAATGGGAAACTACATTCTTATTTTCCCTAGTGCTATCTGCTTCTAGACAAATGGATGTTTGTGTCCTGTTTAGTACATGGATGTGTATCCCCAAATCCCTTCCAAAACAAAAGTGAAGAAAGATATAAGTTTGAATCTAGAACATAGAGATCCTTTATCCCATAGAGATAAATGGGACTAAATAGGCCCCACAATTGTCTCATCTTTAGTCAATCATATTGCCTCCTTGACTAGCTGAACTATGTCTTGGACAATTATTCAAAGAGGAGGTCCCTAATCTCTGTTTTATGTTTGATGTTTTCACAGAACATCATCAAAAAGGTTAATGGTCAAAAGTTTGTTTACAAGTTTGTATCTTACCCAGAGATATTGAATATGGATCTGCTGGTTGTTGGCAAGATTGAGGGTGAAGCTGAGGCAGAGGCTGGCTTTGTTGATACTAGCAACTCTATGAAGGACATTGAAACTTATGGGAAAGAAAAGCATCAGGCCAGTGTGAAATCCTCCAGTCGCAATGACTATATCCACTCAGGCCTATATTCTTCATTTACTTTGAACTCTCTTAATTCCTCCTCTTGTACAAAACTGTTTAAGATGGAGAATTCAGCTGAGAAGCTGACAGAAAAAAGAACTCAGGATTCAACACCTTCAGTCATAAAATTTGTAACCATGTCCTCCAAAAGGCCTTCTGTATCTCCCCTAGCCTCAGCTACTCAACTGACCTCTACTATCTCAGCTGCCTCTATCGTACCTTCAGGTTCAAATGAAAGCCTCCAGGCCTTGGAATCTCTAGCAACATCTAAAGGTGCAGCCACTGAAAGTTCAGCATCTTTGACCTCTAATTTTAATTCTACATCTCCTGCAACCTCCACATCTCCTAGTCTCCGGGTTCCACCCAAATCTCCTTTGCCACCATTACGTTCTAATTCTGATCTGGTTGTAGACACAGAAACCGAGTCTGTAGTTGGCCAGCAGTTAGAGCACTTTCAGAATCACGTCTTGGAGGGTAAAGAGATGAGTTCCTCCATGTTTGAAAAGAATCTTCGTCATAGCAGAACTAGAAAGCCCAAAGGACTGGAGATTACTCCCACTCTGGTTATTACTGGAAGTGATCCCAGTCCACTGGGAATACTGAGTCCTTCTCTACCAACTGCTTCTCTTACACCAGCACTTTTTTCACAGGTAATCCTGTTTTTTATTTGGGATCCAAATTCTGTATGTGAATTTGCAATAGAATAGAAATTTGCCTGCTAATTCTTGTTTTTGGTTTAAGTTTGGGAATAAAAGTAGGAATTTAAGAGGCTGGATGGCTATTTAGCTCAGGGTTGTCATTGATCCGAAAATTGACCTAATCTGTTTACAGTATATTTTAGTTTGTGCTTGAGGAGTTAATGCAGAATACTTAATGTTGGGTGTTTACTTTTCCTTAAGAGACCTAAGCTTCCTAGATATTTTGTATTCTGGTTAGGACAAAAGGGACAGTTGGGTGTAGTGGTTAAGGCATCCGACTAGAAACTAGGAGACAGAATTCCAGTCGTGCCTTGGACACGAAGTGTTCTTGGGCCAGTAACGGCTCTCAGTGCTAGGAAGGAAGCAGTGGCAAACCATTTCTGAAAATCCTTGTCAAAAAAACTTCAGGGTCATTAACAGGTAGTCTCTTAAAATTGGACACGATTGAATGGAAGATTTTAAAAAAGGACAAAAGTTAACGTTTCACTATTTAATCATGGTTACCTAATTTGGAGTTGCTATCTTCTCTCTCTCTTTTAAGAAGAAATTTCTTCGACCGATTAAGACCATGTTTCATTATTATAGCTACAGCAAGATTATATGCAGAATAATTTTTACTTAACATAGCAGTTTAAAAATCTATTTCTAGGTATTCATATTCTAAATTAAGCAGGGACCCTGATGTACTTTTAGCTATAGAGCTATAGTTAATTTTGCTTCAGATATAAAAATAGAGTGAAATGAGTAAGCAAGTGAGTTGAATGTCATGAAAAATAGAGAGATGTTGGCGAATAGGCAATCCAATAGAATGATTTAACTATGATTAAATAGTTTGGATTTAATCCCAAAATGGAAACCTTAGATAGTTTTGTAAAATATAATCAATCTAATTTTTAGGGATCAGCACCCCAAGCTGTAAAGTTCCAGAAAACAGTTGATCAGAATGAAAACAAAAGTGAAATCAGAGTAACAATCTCAAGCTAATGCTTTAGATTGGTGGAATTTAGTGAATATATCAGAATATGACCACTTTGTCTTATAAGAAATTAAAAATAATAATGTGAATTCTGTCTATTTCTATTTTATGACCATCTGTACAGGGCAGTTTGTTAAAAATTGTTTATATAGGTCACTTCCTTTATTTTTGAGCCATTACTTGTTGCTTGGACAGCAAATAAAATAATTTAAAACTATTAGATTTCCCCTCCATCTTATCATACCTGTTAAAATCTGACATTGAGATGGAGAAAATCTCTGTTCATCTTCTCTTGCTGTATCTGGAAAAAGAAGATAGCTAATCAAAATGTCTTCCTGTTTCTGAGGTGTGCCATCATTTTTAGTTCCTAGACTAGACAGAACCAGTTTGATTTTCTACCCTTTATTAACTGTCATATTGGTGTCTGATCCCAGACTAGTGAATTTAAAACAGATGTCTTGCCTTGTGGTATTATATGCTTGTTAGTCATATTGAGCTTAATGTGCACTTCCAAATGATTAATTTTATGCTATTGCTCTGTATGTCCCACAGACACCCATTTTACTGACACCAAGCCCCTTGCTCTCCAGTATCCATTTTTGGAGTACTCTCAGTCCAGTTGCTCCTCTCAGTCCAGCAAGATTACAAGGTGCTAATACCCTCTTCCAGGTAAGTTTCAGCTCATGACAGCAAACAAAGTCTAAATAGTCTAATAGCTAAAATAGTCATGTAAGAGCCTTTTTCTTCATTAGGACAAGATTGTGCAACTTTATTTAAGCCAAGGGTTAGACTTGGCTTTTATGGAGCAACTTGGAAGGAGTTTGGTGACTGAGCTCCAAAAAAAGTCAAGAAGGTGACAAAGGAGTGAGCAAGAATAGGACAATTACTTTAGATTTAACTACAACTAATATTATTACTTATTACATTTTATTCATTCCTTGTATTATATTAAGAACTGCAGTTGACAGCTATATTCAAAGATGATCTTAGGAGATTGGACAGCTTTTACACTCTTAATTTAGCAGCAAAGCTCCATGTAAATCACTCATATTTCCTAACTGTTTGCAGCTGCTAGGTTTAGCACTTTAACAGAATAATTCAGTCTTCCCCAACCTGGTGTCCTTCAGATAAATTCGGACTCCCAACTCCTATATTCCCAGGCAAGTTTGTTGTTTAACTCATGTTTGTGTAAATTACCGTATATACTCGAGTATAGGCCGACCCGAATATAAGCCGAGGCACCTAATTTTACCACAAAAAACTGGAAAAGTTATTGACTCGAGT